CAATCATGGGTAGGGTCCCGCCAAGTTTCAGTTAGCACAACTAAGTGAAAGTTCTCGTTTGCAAGCAGGAGTGCAAGTTCCTCCTGCTTGTTCCCCACACTCCTAGCATTAGTATAGAGACACTTGAGCCCCCCGATGAGTGCCTTTGGTGCCCCCCTGTCCTGATGTTCTGTACATCATCTATTTTATCAGACACCACATAATCCTTCACACCCAGACCATCCCTGGTTACCCCTGGCATGCACACAATCCATCTGGGATCAGCAACTGTTCCAGTGGCTCCTGTTGCCACATATAAAACAAATGGAGTCATCATCAAACTTCCTTATCAGGATGTAAGCCTGCTCCATGCTTCTGTCTTCCCTAAGTGCTTTGTCAGAACCCTTCTACCCTGCTGCAGTCTGGGAGAAGAAGGGGTCGGGTCCTTGGTGCTGGAGCTCCAACTGATGCTCTCCTCAAAGTTCCAAGTGTCCTCTCTCACAACCCTAATTTTCCTGAGCTTGGGCCAAATAAGCTAGGTCCATTTCCATAAAGTTTTATATCGTATGGATTTCCTCACCCAGAGTGGACACCGATTGCTGATAGATCCACCTCTACTATAATGGCTTGGCTGTATAATTTGCAGTATCAGGATATCAAATCATTTCACTTTTGATAATGCAACATACAGGCAGCCATGTCAAAGCCTCTGCCTCTGCCTCTGCCTCTCTCTCCCAGGTAGTGCCATCCTGGTAACTTTTCTTCCCAACTCCTTTGAAAATATGCATACCATAACTTCATTACGGATGAGCAATACTACCCATCTAATACTGGTCCCAAGCCTGGATAAAGGAGGAGTGTTAGTGTTAAGAAGGGCATCCAGCTGTAAACAATCCTATGCCAAATCATCATGATCCCATATCAAAGCACACACTGTAATGAGAGCAAAAACTTATTCTATCAAAAGTTTGACCTTGACTTCTTTTTAGTGTAATTGAAAAAAATATATTGATAAGAAATTACATTCTGTGCATCTGAAAAAGTACAGCTGAATCTGTTGGCACAGTATGACTTTTGACAAAATAATCAATTTTCCAAGTAGCCTCTCTTCTTGTCACTTCTAAGTCTATAGCATTGTTCTAAAGTCTTTTTACAATAAGTTTGATAGTGTTGATTAAGCCTCATCCACTTCTTCTTGACTTGCTGGACTATAATAAATCACCTGTATCTTCTTCCTTCTGAATCAGGGAACAAATGTATGAGTTTTTGACATACCACACAAAGCCACCATCTTTTCTTCCAACCCTGCCTCCCAAAAAGAATGCTCCCACCAATCTTTTTGATACCAATCAGGTCAGATTTCTTTTCACAGGCTGTGACTTCCAACTCATCATCATTGTTCCCCACACTTCCTACATTTCCCTACATACGATGTATGTATGTAGAGGACAAAGGTTTAAAATGTGCACACATGGATGGTACAGTCATAGCAGAGAAGCTGAAGGAATAATTTGCATTGGTTTCTACTACAGAAGATACCAGAGAGATTTCCATGCTAGATCAATTCTAAATAAATCCAAAGAGAGATCCAATTGAAGTAACAGTATAGAAGTTTTAAAAGCAAATCAGTAAATTAAAACAGTAGCAAGTGACTGGGATCAATTAGTATTTACCTGAGAGTTATTTAGGAATTCGAATGTGAAACTGCAGGATTGCTGTTCATAGCATGTCACCTATCATTACAAAAGGCCTCTGTGCCAGAAGAGCGTTAGGTTGACAACAAAACACCTAACTTCATAAAGGCTCCAGAAGTGACTTTGGGAACTACAGTCCAACGTTCCCTCTAAGGAGTAGTGGTCCATGAGTGCACCGCTTCGGTCCCACCTCCCCACTTTGGTGCTGTCTGCCGGTAAGTGCCCCGCAGTAAGTGTCCAGGTGGGAGTGGGCAGGGTTCGGCCCTATGTGGAGCACTGTGGGCCCCACCCACTACCCTTCTCCATGCTAACTGCTGCTCAGAGCAGCACAGTAGAGTGCAGTGGGGCAGCCATGCGCCAGACACAATTAGTTGGCAGAACTGATGCTGTGGCCCAGCCATGGCCCGGACACAATCAGTTGATAGAACTGGAATGGAGGCACTGGGGCCAGAATGGGACACTTACTGAAGGCAAGTTCCTCAGTCCTCACACAGGGCAGGCAGCGGCTCCTCCACCAAGGCGAGGCGGGGATAGGGACGGGGCCTGGCGCGGACTCTGGTCTCTGGGGAACTGCTCTGATCCCCAGCCCTCATGTCATGTGCCTCGGTGCTGGAGCTCCAACTGATGCTCTCCTCAAAGTTCCAAGTGTCCTCTCTCACAACCCTAATTTTCCTGAGCTTGGGCCAAATAAGCTAGGTCCATTTCCATAAAGTTTTATATCGTATGGTTTTCCTCATCCAGAGTGGACACCGATTGCTGATAGATCCACCTCTACTATAATGGCTTG